AGAGAGAGAGAGAGAGTTCACCTGAAATGGTAGTGACCAAGGCCATGCTTGACCCCCCACTTGAATTCCCCAACATAGCGGCTCCCATCCTCGCAGGTATGAGCACCGCAACCATGGCTCTGGCCATTAGACCACTCCCCTGCATATACATCCCCTGTATAAAACCTGTAAACCCCATAGCCATGTCTCAAACCTTGCCTGTATTGTCCCCTATACCTGCTCCCTCTTGCCCATGTCTCCACTCCGTAGCCATCATACTTCTCGTCAACCCATTCCCCTTCGTATCTTCCACTCATGTAATAGTAATAAACCCCACTACCTGAGCATTTCCCTTTATGAAATTCCCCCTCATAAACATCTCCATTGCTGTAAACACGAACCCCTTCTTTTAGGTTTTGAGGAATTGATGATCGAAGAGATTGGGGCTTTGAACCAATGGTCCAGCTAACTGCAGATCGAGTATAGAGGGGGAGTTTGGGGTGGTGATGGAGTAAAGAAAGAAAGAGCTTTGAGTTGTGAAGTCGAAGGAGAGGAGAGAAAGCGGCGAGGGTTCGTGAAAGTGGGGAGGGGAGAAGATGGGGGAAAGCGATTCTTAGAGAGACGATGAGTGCAGAGACGAAGAGGAGAGCAGAGAAAAAGTCAAACCAAAGGCCTAGAGAGAGAGAGGAAGAGGAGGAAGGGGATTTGAAGAAGAGATAAAAAGTGGGTATAGCTAAAATTAAGAAAGGAGGAAGTAGGAGGTGATGGTTTCTTCGCGATTTGGTGAAAAGATGGCGAAGGAGGCGGTGATGGTGGTGTTTATTGTAGTGAGAGAAAGTGGGGAGAGTGGTAAGAGTGGGGGAGCGAGAGAGAGAAGGGGAGGTGGGGACTGAGGCCATGGCCCTTTTGTTAAGGTGTATTTGCTCATTCTGCAACTCTATGGGTGGTTTTTGATGGTGAAGCCATGGGTGGTTATTGGGGTTATGGTTATGGTGATGGAGAAGAGGGGCTCGCTTGTAATCTGAGGAGACACCCCTGCTTTCCGTACCGATCTGAACTTCCGATTTCTTCTGATGCATTACAGGTTGCGTCGTGACGACAACATCCTCTCTCTCTAGAATCCCTTTATGGTATCGTACCTGTACCTGTACCTGCACCTGCTCTCTCGAGTCTTGTGAAGAGGTCTAAACCTCTCTCTCTCTCTCTCCGCAAGTCCCTTTGTTATGGTCCCTTCCCAGTTATCTAATTCCTACTGACAAGCTCTCTCTCTTTACTCTTCTCTGCAATTCCTTGGAGAATAAGCTCTTTCTTCCTCAGAAACACTTGGAATTAAGATAAGAGTCGCTTTATTATCAATCCCCTGAAAGCCGCAAATGATAAAAATCTCTCTCTTTCTCATCAATCCTCTGAAAGCCCAAACTGGTAAAACTCACTCTCTCTCTCTCTTGACCAATCTCAACTTGCGAAACCCTTGCGAAAGTCGCTCAGCGTTTTCCACACGGCCGGCCTTATCAAGCCACTCTCTCTCTCTCTCTCTCTCTAGATTCTAAAGTAAAAGGGCGAAGTATTGTAATCACCATCTATCTGGTCCCGGCATTGAAGAAACTAGAGAGAGAGAGAGAGCAGAAGTTTAGCCCCTTCTCATCATCGTCTCTTTCTCTCTCAAAACCATAGGAATAGAATCGTCGTCACTTTCTCTCTCTCTCTAAGACAGGGGAAGAGAAGGACCCATTCAACTTGGCATGGGCCCCTCCCCCTCTCTCTTGCCACGTCTCCCGTGTTTCACCGCCTCTCTCTCTATGTCATAATCTCTCTCTCTCTCTCTCTAGTAATATTCGGTGCATTATACTCACTTCAATGTCCAAGGAATACTTGTATGAGGTAGTTATATCTATGTGTACTTGCTTTTTTTTTAATTGTACATGCCGCAATACTTCAAATCAGGTTTTAAAAAAACGTCGAGTCTAGTCGGACTCGCTCGATTCGACTCGAAAGTCGTTATAGGACGTATCAATTCAGTATATAAAACAGAAATCGCCCTTGTCTAAAGAGAACCGGTCGATTCTCAATAGTAGACTGGCGATTTCGTCCGAATCGTACCGAGTCACCTGGAAGAACACGGGCAGCATAGTATTCTTCACAGGATTTCAATTTTTTTTACCATTTTGTGATCGATTTTTGACGTTTTCAGTCTTATGAATGAATATTACATGCTTTAATTCAAATTTCGAATCACTTTCACTCAATAAAACGAATTAAAAACCACCGTTTTTTATCAACAAATTTGAATCGAGGAGTGAGATTTAGGGTTTTCGCCATTTCAGTGATTTCAATAGAAATAAAGCTTCATTTTTTATAAAATTTTAGGCTGAGTGATTGTAAGAGTATTGGTCATAATTTTGTGTTCATAATTTGTGATTATCTTGGAGGAATACATATCAATTTTGAGTTTGAAGGCACGGATGCATGAAGAACAGGTAAAAACTCAGTTTTTTTTTTTTTTTCGGTCATGCGCTCAAGTCCAGTCAATATTTTACAAATCATGTATTAAATTTATAGGGTTTTGATTATTTGTAGTGTTGTATATCATTAGATATATTCAATTTGATTATATTTATTCAATTTGAGTTGGATTTATAGAAAATAAGAGTGATGTCTGTTAAAAAACAATTGGACTGTTTTTTTTTTTTCCGCCATTTTCACAATTTCAGTAAATATTTTGCAAAGAATGTGTTAAATTTATAGGGTTTTGATTCGTTATAGTGCTGTTTATCATCTCATTTATTCAATTTTATCTGATTTATTCAATTTGAGATTGATTTTTGAGATTGAATGACTGATGTCTGTGAAGAACTTTAATCGATTTTATTTAATATTTTGATAATAATGTATTAATATTATAGGGCTTTGATTCCTTATAGTGTTGTTTATTAAAACATGTATTAAATTTGATGTAATTTATTCGATTTGAGGTGGATTTTTGAGTTGGAATGACTGATGTTAGGTTGGTATGTGAAGAACTGGGTTTTATTTATTTATTTATTCACGATCAATTTTTTTGAGAAATCGTGATTTTTCGAAAAATTGTTTTTTATTATCATGAGGAATTAAACAATATTTTTAATTTTTATTGTTAAATTTCTAGTTCAAAAAATTGCATGTTGATAGATTATTTATGCAAAAAAATATATGTTATTATATTTTTAATGCAAAACTGTATTTTTTAATTTGTCGTTAATGCAAAAAAATACATTAACAAATACATGTTGTTAAACTGTATTATATTTTTAATGCAGTTTTGCAATAAAAAAGTATTTTTAATTTTTTAAACTTTTAATGCAAAAAATACATGTTGTTAAACTGAATTATCATGAGGAATTAAAGTGAATATCATTGTAAAATATCATGTATGATAATTATATTAGCTTGCAATTATCAATTTTATTATTAAACTTTTAATGCCAAAAATGTATGTTATTAATAATTGAGTTGTAGGCATGTTTGGAGATTGTTTTTTTTATTATATTATCTTGCATATTTGTAATTGAGATGTATGAATATTTGGCATGTGTGACTTATACAGACTTTTTTTTATCTATAATGTTGCATAAATTTTTTTTTTTCTCAGTGGGAACTAATTCATATTTGTCGAAATGAATATTTGTGACAAGTCCATATGTATTGGAATTGTGAATTACTATACCATTGTAAATATATTTTTTATTGATACTATATCAATGTAAATTTATTGTTCTTTATGTAGTGGTTGATATAGGCTATTTTTATCTATAATGTTGCATAAATAAATTATTTTTCTCAGTAGGAATTAAAATATTTTTGTCAATAGAAGTATTTTGCATTAACTAACAAATATAACTTCATGAACTACCCTTACATATTATCACTACACATGGTGATTATTTTTCATGTTCAACTGTCAGGTTAATTTTTAACCTTTTACATTTTAAAGTTGAACCATAGCAAGATCTGCAGAAGACCCTGCATGGCCACATGGGGTCAGACTTGATCCCAACAAAAAAGACAAAATTATTTGTAATTACTGCCAAAGAGTGATAAGTAGTGGGGTACATAGGTTCAAGCAACACTTGGCAGGGGTTAAGGGAGATGTTTCTACGTGCAATAGTGTCCCTAATAAAGCAGATGACGGCATTTCTCAAGGCTACCAAAGGAAAAAAAATTGCAAGGCAGAGGATGGATGAGGAGATAGCAAGTTTATATACGCCATCAAGCGGGAATGATCTAGAAGAGCAATATAATAATGACTTGGAGATGGCCACAAGAATGAGTTTACATGCAATATACCAGAGGCAACGTGGGTTTAGAATGCCTAGTGGTTATGACATGGGCATGCATAGTAGGCCTAGCTTAGACATGCATGACGGGTCTAGCTCGAGCATGTATGGCGGCCCCAGCTCAAATATGTATGGAGGGGTTGGTGGCAATATGTATCAAGAAGAATCAGACATTGAAAAAATTGTTTCTAGGTTACATAGGAGTGCCAATATTGTAGGTCATGGTCGTATAGACCTATTTTTCTCAAAGCCTAAGTCACAACGGATGACCTTAAAAGGCATGGTTAAAGATACAAGAAACATGTTGGGGAGATATGTTGGTAAATGGTTCTACGATAAAGGGATTCCCTTTGATGTAGCCGATAACCCATATTTTCCACCTATGGTCAGTGCAATCCAGAGAGCCCGGCCCGAGGTAAAATCCTCGACGGCATATGACTTCAGTGGGCCAATATTAGATGAATAGGTGGAGGAAGTTAAAAAGTGGATTGAAGAATATAAACAAAGTTGGTCAAGGACAGGCATTACTCTCATGAGTGATGGTTGGTTGAATAAAGTTAGCAAAAAGGAGTTTTTAAACTTCTTGGCCTATTCCCCAAAAGGTACAGCTTTTTTTTCTAACAAAGACGTATCAGGGACGAAAAAAGATGCAAACTTCTACATACGACTATATGATCAGATAGTGGAGGAGGTGGGAGATAAGCATGTAGTCCAGTTTATTACGGACAATGCGCGTGCATGTGTTTCTGCGGGTAGCAAGTTGATGGATAAGAGGAAGCATCTAGTATGGACCCCGTGTGCTGCACACAGCATCGATCTTATGTTAGAAGAGATCAAAATTGTGAAGGAGACTCTTGAGGAAGAAAGGTTGATGTTGAGATTTATATACAACCACTCTAAAATTTTATTTCTGTTTAGAGAACACTCTAAGAAAAAAGAGATAATCAGGCCTGCCATAACCCGCTTTGCGACCGATTACTTAGCTGTGGATTCCATTCGGGAATCTGAAGGTGCATTAAAGAGATTGTTTGCCTGTGAAGAGTGGTTAAATGACCGCCTCTCGAAGTCCAGTACCGGTATAAAAGTGGACGGCACAGTTTCAAATAAGAGGTTCTGGTCTCGATGTTCCAGTGTTGTAGAGGCCATTGCCCCTTTGGTCAAGGTGTTAAGAATGATGGATGCTGACAAGAAAGCTACCATGGGCATCATTTATGAAGGTATCGAGAGGGCGAAATCAGCTATTGGGGAAAAGTGTAGTTTTGTTAACAAAGTGATCGAGATTATAAAAAGGAGGTGGAACACCAAATTTGGACGTCCAATTCATTATGCTGGTAAATAAATATTTATATCATTAGAATGTTTCATTTAAATCATTTTTTTATAAAATTATAAATGACATTTTTATATCTATATATTTTCTAGGTTACTACTTCAACCCAAAATTTTTCTATTTGACACCTGAACATCCCCACAAGATTATGGAAGGCAGATACATTATTGCAAGGTTGGAGAGAAGCCATTGAAACCAAGTAGCAGTAATACAATAGGTATTATTTAATGTTTGGGTAAGAACTTCATTGAGGTGTTATATTTGTGAGGAATAATGCACTAAAATGAAATATATTTGTTTTAACTTGCTATGTATAGGGATGCTATAGGATCATTCGGAACTAGACTTGCTAGGAATTCTCGAACTAAGATGGATCCAGGTTATCCCCTCGCTAATATTTTGTTCATTCATATATTTAATCATATGAATTGTTCTCGCCCTTACAATGCTTTTTACATTTTAATCCAGCTGAATGGTGGGAGATATATGGTACTGATGCACTTCACCTAAAGAGGATAGCAATCATTGTGCTCTCCCAGACATGTTCTGCTACTGGTTGTGAGCGTAACTGGAGTACGTTCCAATGGTTGCACACTACTAAAAGGAATCGACTCGCTTCGGAGAAGCTTCATAAACTAGTCTATATTCATTATAACTTAAACCTCCGAGAGCGACAAATAAGAAGGAAGCTTGAAGACTATGGGCCGATAGACTTAGACACAATATTTGTCATAGACACAGCAGACCAATGGGTAGTAGAAGAGGAGGAGCCAGTGTTGCACAAGAGAGCGTTCCTTGAAGCTATTGGTGAGAAAGATCTTGAAGAAGGTGATGAGCAGCATGAAAGAGGAAGCAACCAGCCTACGTATCCACAATTCGTCGAAGATGTCAGTGATATTGCACCTAATGAGGAAGCGTGTGAAGGGGGTCTAAGGGAAAATGAGAGAGATGATGATTCTAAGGCCACCCTATCCCAGCCATATTATTCACATATCGAGTCCCAACAACA